TCTATTTTCATCATAGAAAATACAAAAACAACATACAAGCGAAAAGGAGAAAAATTTTAAATTCCGTAATTCTATCACTCACAGAATTTATGTTCTAATAGCACTGCTTTTTTTGTATTTCAAAACTATAATTTCTCTTTACCAGGAAATACTCACAGCAGAGAGAAATGATTGACATGGCATGCAGCTTGTTCTCAGACCTGATATAAGGTCTCATACAAATAACAAAAATATTTCCAAAGCAGGTAACTGCAGATACAACCCATACAAATACTCTCTGAATGATGCTTGCCAAGAGATTCTCCAGAGATGAAATTCCATCCGTGTTTGGTTTACAGCTGCGAACATGCGGTGCATATCCACAATACTGAAATTTCTTAAAATATCTGGTGTACAAAGAGAAGGTAAAATAAGATTTTAAATTTAATTCAGTGTCACCATACATTAATATTGGTTGTCTACATTATCTCTGTAGAAAGAAGATGTTTTAGTAGGAGACTCAGAGGAATGCAAAACAATTGGAATTCTGAAACTTTAAACATCAATTTAATTCTCATTAACTTGATTTCACTGTAAAAGAATGTGTGGGTGAAAATAACAAATAGGCATAACGAATATACAAGTGTTAGACATGTATTAGAATATAAACTGTTAGCATGTGATCAACAAAATGAACCTATTCAGAGAAACTTTCATTGGGTTTTCAGAGTCTAGCAAAAGTAAATGCTCGTTACATAACTCCTATTCGTGCCGCAACTTTTCTTGCCTTTTAACCCTCAGGGGAAGAGTTAAATGTTTTCTCCTCTGTGCTCCTATGACTTTTCTGTTATAGAGGTTACATTGTTATCTGTAACTACTTGCTAACAGGCCTATAGCTCACACTAGATTTTTTTTTTTTTTCAGGAAATTATGGGGGTACAAACATTTTGTTTACATGTTATGGCTTTGCCACATCCCAACCATGATTTGAGATGTGCCCTTCCCGCCCCCCACAACGCTCACTGCGTCTAACAGTTGTGAGTTTACCTACCCCCAAAGAATATTACTACTGTGTGAGCACCCTAGTGTTGATCAGTCAGTGTCAGTTTGATGGCGAGTACAAGTGGTGCCTATTCTTCCATTCTTGTGATACCTCACTTCAGAGGATAGGCTCAAGCTCTATCCAGGAAAACATAAGAGGTGCTAGATTACCGTCATTTTTTATAATTGAGTAGTATTCCATTGTATACATATACCATATTTTATTAATCCACTCATGGATTGATGGGTACTTGGGTTGTTTCCACATCCTTGCTATAGTGAATTGTGCTGCCATAAATATTCAAATGCAGATGTCTTTATTATAGAATGTCTTTTGTTCCTTTGGGTAGATGCCTAATAGTGCTATTGCTGGATCAAATGGTAGTTCTACTTGTAGCTCTTTGAGATATCTCCAAATTCTTTTCCACAGTAGTTGCACTAATTTGCAGTTCCACCAGCAGTGTAAGAGTGTTCATATCTCTCCACATCCTCACCAGCACTTGTTGCTTTGGGATTTTTTTGATACAGGCCAATCTTACTGGAGTTAGGTGATATCTCATTGTGGTTTTGATTTGCATTTCCCTAATGATTAGAGACGTTGAGCATTTTTTTATGTTTGCTGGCCTCACACTAGATTTTGATACATAATAAAGAGTACAGTAAATATTTGCTGAGTGAATTCTTTCATCAACAGAGAGCCCTCTCTTGTTGATAAAGATATCACCCAGATAATATTAATAAATAATTACTATTATGTTACCACCAACACCAATACCATTTATTGAGCATTTTCTAGATATCAGGAATAAATTCTCAAATGAACTCCATGAGGAAGGTATATTAGCATCACTATAGGAGATGAATCTTCAGTGGAGGCAAATCGCTTGCCAGGAAATTTTCTAGAAAATGAAGAAATTTGGGATTCAAATGAGATCTATTTGCCTCCAAAGCCATATGTTCTGGCAAAAAATATAAATGATCTTTATAGTATAAAGAGTTACAGTAATAAAAGACAGAAACTTGATGATTACAATTTGTCCTGTCAAATTCAAGGTCACGTGCTGATATTTTCATCCTGTTATGTCCACTTCTCTGGGAACTATTAAGAAGAGGAGAGCAGAGCATGAGGAAGGAAAGAGTGTTGATTGCTATTTCACTTTGTTTTATGTGTCTCAGGCTGAAGTTTTGCTTTTATCAACAGAATTATAAGAGATATTTCTTTGCTGGTTTGGCTGTGGGACCTTCAGTGGAGGCTCTCCCTTAGTCCACAGTGAGTGAGTGCTTTAAGCAAGACCAATTAGACTTTCTCTCCTGGAACTCTGGATCTTATTGAATGAGAGTTGGGAGGATAACTCCAGCAGGGCCTGGAGAAGACTGCTGTTTAACTCTTGCCGCCATGGTTTCTGCCCATTTCAAGTCAGTTCCTTTAGTTGTTTCTTAGATTTTTGTGAGCCGTATCATTTTTTCCCGATAAATT